TTGGTTTTGACTTCCCTTGAGCTTGCTAGCTCATTATTTTTTGAGCTAAGATTTAGCTCATTATGAGCTGATTTTTAGATCATTTATTGAACTAAGAGTTAGCTCATTATGAGCTATGTTTTTAGTTCACTTATTAATTTATTAGTAGCTCATTAATTTTGTCTCTTCTCCTTCCCCTTGTCTATTCGTTTCCTGTGGATGGCTCTTGGGTTCCCGTGCCTTTGCTCCTTTGGTTCCGTGAGGGCCTCCTTGGTTCTTGCGGCTACCTCTTCGGGTTCCGCCTGGGCTGATTTCCCATGACTTTTGGGGAGGGCTTTTCCCGTGACTTTGATGCCTGGTTTCCTGTGCTGAGAGGCTTCCCATGCAATGCCCCTTGGGTTCCTGTGTGGTGGCTGTTGGTTTCCCTGTACTAGCTGGCTATTTTCCGTTCCTTTACTCCTTGTTTCCTGCAGTTTTTCTGTGCAGATTTAGGACAGATTTCTGGTTTGTTTTTAGACAGAAATCTGGACTGGATTGTTGGCTTTTCATTTCCCTCATTTAATTAAGTATTTGATGGGTTTTTGGGGCTGTTTGTATTCCTCTTTTATGCCTATATCCTCTTTTATGCCTATATATAGAAGATGTTGTGGTTGTTTTAAAAGTGAAAAAAAATATGATTTTTGGAAAGAAATCTGAGGGTTTTTGGAAAAGCTTGCGAGCTTTGTCCACTTCTTCTTCTTCTATCTCTTGAGGAGACTTGCGATTTCTTTCCACCCTTCTTCTCGGCTTCTAACCTCTTTCGTCTCTCCGCAGTGCCATTCCATCTGTATCTTTCTTCTCAACATTTGGCAAGCAGTTTTAGAAAAGTTATTGTCTTTATTGTGTTGTTTGTTTGTGTCCAAGTTTGTAATAGTTTATTATAATATGAAAGTTTTTTTTTTTAGTTCAATTGTCATATTTAGTGTCATTTTGACAATTCATGTCATTTTCTATTTCTTAGAAAGGAATGTTTTTTGTGATGAAAAATTTGGGAAGGGGCCCCTTCCCAAATTTTTGATTGCATCAGTTTCCACATCAAGGACGGATGTGGGCAAAGAAGCTAGTCCATGAGACTAAAATTAGAATAGGAGCTTGGAACATAAGTTCCCTTACAGGAAAATTAATGGAATTAATAGATATTATAATTCATAGGAAGATAAATATTCTGTGTATTTAGGAAACTAAATTGGTTGGAGAGAAGACAAAGGAGATTGATAGTTTAGGATATAAATTATGGTATTCGGGTAGGAGTCGTACTAAATATGATGTAGGTGTGATTTTCGATAAGAGTTTGAAAGATAATATTATAAAAATTAATATAATTTGAGATAGAATTATAGCTTTAAAGATTGTTGTTGATGCTAAGATTGTTAATATTAAAGTGTTTAGGCTCCTCAATTAGGTATGGATATGGGTTCAAAATTAAAATTGGAATGACTTAGAAGAATTAATACAAAAGATACATCTTGAAGAGAGAATTTTTATTGGAGGAGATTTAAATGAACATGTTGGTATAGAGGTAGATGATTTTAAAAGCATTCACGATGGTTATGGGTTTGGAACAACAAATGAAGGTGATAAGATCATATTAAATTTTTATTTAGCTTATAATATTTTAATAGCTAATACCTTATTTAAGAAAATATATGAGCATATTATCACTTATAAAAATGGATATAGTAAAACACAGATTGATTATTTTGCTATAAGAAAATTAGATAATTTATATTGCAATTATTGTAAAGTTATTTTAAGTGAAAATTTATGTACCCAACATCGATTATTAATTTTAGACTTTAAGATAAAAGGACAGAAAATAAAAAATAAAATAAAACGATATTCTAAGATTAGATGGGGGCATTTAAAGAATATTGACAAAAATATTTTTAGACTTTAGACTTTAATTAAATTCTTTATATATTTAATTTGACTAAAAAACATCCCATTTCTCATGGTTTAAAATTGCGCAATATGAGGCTCGCCTTGAGGCCCGCCTTTGCGCAATTCCAGTAAAAAACGCCTCGATGCTTACGCCTCAAGTTTTTTTGTGAGGCTTGCGCCTCAACTTGGTTGAGGCCCGCCTCGCCTCACTGGCATGAGACTTACGCCTCACACTATATATATATTAAAACTTACCTAAATCTTGAAGTAAATGCCCAACATTGAACTCTATAGGAGAGGAGGAAGGGGAGAGGACAGTTCATCATAATGATGATTTAAATGAAGAACCCCTTAGTGAAGACAATGTTGATGACTTATGAGTTCTTATGTGATATGTCATTGCAATTTTTTTTTTTTGGAAATTGGAATTATATGTTAATGAAAAGAATACTAGATTTGGGAAAGATAGAATTTTGAGTTGAACTATATTTCATGTTGTCTTATTATTGGGATATTTTGATTTCAATTCATATCTTATGCTTTTTTATGTTTTATATTATTCGTTCATTAGTATATAAAAAAATTATCGTTTTGTGTTTACGCAATCTTTTGATTTTGAGGCTTACGCCTCAAAACGCCTTGAGGCTTACGCCTCGCCTCATGAATGAAAAACGCCTCAATACCCGAATATGCAATTTCAAACCTTGCCATTTCTTTCTTGTTTAACATTATAATCTAAAAAATATTATAATTCACCAATCTCATAATAATTGCTTTCAACCTAATAATATCAACATAGATCTGCACAACCAGAAAGCCTAACTTAGTTCTTTATATAAGAAGTGTCGCATCCAAAATTCTCTTATTAAATGAATTCTTAAATAGAAATGTACAATGTCTATTATAACATGTTCTAGGAGCATGTTTAAAATCATATAAAGCCTTTTAGTTTATAAAGATGATTTGTATATGTTGAGAACTTACTCAACA